TAGAATATAGAACAAATAGGAGAGCATGGATGACTATAGGCATTTTACAGAATGTCTCAAGAAAATAGACAAAACTATGAGGAGAAAAAATAGCAAAATATTATTTTTTATGTATTAGTGTACCATCCATCTTCAAATGATAGATTTTTGCAAAATTTGAAAGTTGTTTTCTTAAATGTTCTAAAGGTAAAGGTTAATTCAAACCACCCTTCAAAATATAATTCAAATATAATATTTAAGAGATACACATTAAAATTTAAATATTCTTGAGGCTATGAATATGCTTTCACTTGCTTCGATTAAAGTAAAACTACAAACAATTAAAAATTGCGTCATTAAAGAGGGGTTTTCAGAACTCGGAGTCATTGATGAAACTGTGATCATGAATGAAGAATATTGGAAACAACTGAGGTTAGACATTACGATCGAGAAATACGTAAATTGTGATGCCAATAAAATGACTTCATATTAATGCACAGTTGAAGAACTGATTGAAAACATTTTACAAGATGAACTTTTAAGCAGCGCGGATGAAGAATAAAATGAAGAAATAATCCTAAATTCTTTTCAAAGTGTTATTTAACTGCATTGAAACCCTCAGAAATTTCTTTGTGTGAAATATTTCTGTATAATACAAGCGAGAAAACATTTCAGGAACTGAATTCGATTCAGAGCGTTTTGCTTAAGATTCAACAGATATGTCAGACAACAACTAAAGACTTTTCTTTAAAAAAAGTTAAAATTTGCTTTAAAATACTCTTGGGAGAAAAATTTTACTTATTTAAGATAATAATTCAAATAAAGGTGTGGCTTTTTTTTTTCAATTTTACGTAACTGCGAATACAAACTTGCGTTCTTATGGTTTTAAAAATATTAAATTTATAATAATGTCATTTTTAAAATATCAATTATAAAACAAATGTTTAAATTGTGTAATTGTTTAAAATATTAATAGTAATTAAATATTTTTTAATTAATTTTAAATTTGTTTCAACACAGTTAATATTTTAAACAAATTGAAAGTACGATAATAAAATCTCATAATATCAGTAGTAGGTTAGAAGTATTGGAGTTGTTATTAGAGAGCTAATATATATGTTTTACATAGGAAATTAAAATTTCATTTTTACGCCTTTCTCATTTATACATCGTTTCTGAATAGAAAGACGCTCGATTTCATCAAATAACCTGTGATGGGCATGTAACCTCTGCAAACCATACATAATCTTTTTTTCGTACAACTTTATGTAGACTGTGAGTGGCAACAGTAGGAAACAAAAATAATCGTAGAATGATGTCGTTTAAAAAAGAGTCTTTAAAAAGGTGAATAATAAATTGTATTTCTTTCGAAATTAGTAGTGTAAAGCAATTCTTAAAGCAGAAAAATAATGTTTATGATGTAGCAACCGCTACGTTATTTGGTGACCTGGAAGTTAGCAACGCTAAATATTATGGAAAATACAGCGAAGACAGAAAGCTAGTTAAATTGCGCAAATTCTTCAGTAACTATGAAAATCTATCAGTTCTTTATACCACCCGCAAAGCAACGGAAAAATTTAAAGACTTCACAGAACATTAAAAGCAGACATTAGAGCTCACAATTCAGTCAAATGGAGTGCAACTTTACCAACTGTACTCCTTCGTATACGCGTATCTCTACGTGATGATGCCAATTGCTCCATCGCAGAAATGGTCTATGGTAAATCAGTGAAGCCACCAGGAGAATTCTTTCAAGAGCCCAAACCCAAATTAGAACCAGATACTTTCACCAGTGAACTCCGAAAACAAATGGAACAATTAAAACCAATTAAAAGTCAATTCAAAAGAAACCAGAAGTTCTTTTTCCATGAAGATTTAAATTCGTGTTCGCATGTATTTGTCAGAGTGGATCGTGTCAAAAAGACATTAGAACCTCCTTATGAAGGACCTTTTCCTGTCATTGCCAGAATGACAAATATTATACAGAGAGAATTAAAGGAAAAGACACCAATGTTTCCGTCGATCGATTAAAACAAGCTTATTTGTTCGCCTCAGGTGAGGATGATTCTCCAAACCTCACAAATAAAGAAAAACCTATTATTCCATCAAACGGAGATGAAAATGGAAAGACGAATGATTTAAAATTTAAAACAACACGTAGCGGAAGAACAATTATTTTTCCAGCACGTTACAGGATTACGTGAATATTTAATGCTGTATACTAATTTTTCATATAATGACTCCAATATTTTGTAAATAGTAGGTATATAGTTTATTTTATATAGTTTATTGTAATATAAGTATTTATGTGAGAACAATATTTTTTATCGCAACTATGTTGCTTGTAAGGGGAGTAGTGTAACCTCTACAAACCATACATAATCTTTTTTTCGTACAACTTTATGTAGACTGTGAGTGGCAACAGTAGAAATGAAAATAATCGTAGAATGATGTCGTTTAAAAAAGATCGTCTCTAAAAAGTGAATAATAAATTGTATTTCTTTCGAAATTAGTAGTGTAAAGTAATTCTTAAAGCAGAAAAATAATGTTTATGATGTAGCAAACGCCACAGGCACTTTTCGGTAAACTCTCAGTGCTAGGATTCATCATATATTAATAAACAGTCTTCTAGGATTACTGCTTTCGTACTACCAGGCCGCTGCTGCATTGTAGCAATGCTGCATTTTAATATCGGACTTAACAGATTGCATATTACATATTTCCATTTCGTTTTACATTTACTACATGTATTTCCTTTCAATTCTTAGCCTCCATGAATGACACTTAACATGACAACTCTTATGTTTAAGGCGAAATGCCTTATGGCAAATTAAATGTAATGAAATTTCATTTCATTTCAGTTGTACGTTTACATACGCTCCTCAGTCATCGGCATTCACATTAACATTATTTTCATAATAGTCCATCTGCTTTTGTGAAGAATGCCATACATTTTACTGGAGATTTGAAATAAATATTTATAGCATGTTTAATGGCCCAGTTAGTGCACAATTTTATTTTGCGATAATAAAATAACTTAAATGAAATATTGTCTATAAATCTAAATACAGAGTATCAAAAGTTTTCATTGGAACAAAAATGTAAAAACGGCTAAGCTTTTCAGGAGAGAAAATAAACCACCGATATCTGAAATAATGAAATAAAAATATAACGTACTAATAGAATTTTCTAAAATGGTAAAAATGCTTTTCGAACGTCTTTCGTTTCTAAGTAACTTAATAGCTACTGACTGAATGAATAAGATCGAAAACAGTTTGCTGCCTTTCTTTTGCTTTGATATGATGGAAAAACATTAAATGAATAAATTCAAGTTAAGGTAATTTTTGCAATTTTGTTACGGATGTTCTTATTTTTGGGACATTGATCATTATTATTGTTATTGCTGTTAGTCGTTGCGGTTGATATTATTATTACTTCGAATAACTGTTATTGTTTAAAATTATTATTATTGTTGTTGTTGCTATGAGTTTTTATTTATAAAACAGCACCCAGTATATCGTTTTTTCAAACCTCGTGACAGTTTATAAATTAATTATACTTAATTATTTTTAATTCTAATTTACAATTTTCGCTTTGCGCTCAAATTTCAAATTGTTTCTGCTCAAACAACACTTATTATGTGAAGAACCTATTATCTTTTCTTAAATTTTATCATTAGTTTCGTAAAATCAGTAAATAAATATTTATTTATAAGTAATCAATATGTATAAGGAAAGACTAATGTTATTTAGAGATATACATACGATGCACTATTTTACGCATGCGTAGTAAACTATCATTATTTGTAAGATTTTAAAATTCATCAATTTTAAGTAACATAACTTGAACAGAAACATGACATTCTTAAAAAATAATGAACGAGTATCAGTTTTGTCTGATAATAAGAATAATTGAAATCTATTCGGAATGTGCAATGTTTATATTTTATTCGCTATTATTGTTCATACATTTTTAAACATAGGTAACACATCCGAAGAAGAGCCGCCCTCATTTAAGAGTAACTTAATATTAGTTTTAAAACGGAAAAATTAAAGTCAAGAAAGTTTTAAAATCAAAGATAAGAAGCTATTCTCATATATCATATCGTAAACTCTAACAAAATTGTTTATATAAACGTCTGTATATGTATTAAAAAAACTTTCATCCAGTAAGTACAGTTTGACTAGAATGCTTGCTGAGTTGAGGTCTCAATCGGGATGTAAAGAATTATGTCATTCCGCAGATGCTTTTGTTATGGTGAACACATCCAGCTAGCTGCTTGGAAAATTGTGATTCAATTCTCCGAGAGGATGTATTTGACTTTTTCCGCTCCGAAAAGACTAGCAATCTCCACACAGAAGTAAACGAAGTTCAAATAATTACTTCTTTTTCATCTGAAATAAGTATGTATATACTGTATAAGCCAAATGCTTACACAAATCTTTTGAAACACCTGAATGTGACGCAATACAAAATGGATTAAATTTCAGATTACAATGATTTGAGCACTTCTTTTAAATTTAACAGAAAATCTAAATTTGAAGAAGCAATGCATAAAAAACTGTACTCTCAGTTAACTATTTTGATTCAGTAGGAAAAAGGAAACTTTTATTTAAACCGCATACAAACCGTACACTATTTTACTTTCAGCTGCGGGAAAAAGGAAACTTTTATTTAAACTAAGCATTCAAACTCTGCAACATTCCTGTTATGATCTTACTGAATCAAAACGTTTATAATTAGCACACCGTAAGTTAGCTTTATAACATAACCATTCTTTAGCTCTGCTATTAAATTGCGTTGCATTTTTTTTTACGTTTACCACGTTTCGGCTACTATATTACATCTATTACTAAATTATTATTTTGGTAAGTCATATCTTATCTTACTATCTTTGAAGAACTTCCTGAGCGCACAAAAAAGATTCGCGTGAATGTTCAAATCTTTTTAATTAATAAAATATTTCGAAATGGAGTAATAAATCAAAATACCAATCTAAAAGAAAATGATAAGTTACTTACCTTTGATATTTCTGATCTTCTGTCCTCAGGGATTGTGGAATAATGTCTCATTCGTGCGTATTCACGTTCTGAAGTATTAGTCCCACCTTGCTGAGAGGCTTCCGTAGGACTATATGAAAGACTGCGAAACCAATTTAAGCTTAGTTTTCTCATTTTTGTTCTAAAATTGCTCCAAAAAATAACGTTATATACTTTGAAAATAAGCTGGTTGCTAGCAGATAATCCGTAATAAATCCTTCCGTAAAATGTATAGTCACTAAAATAAGTTTAAGCTTCCACGATGCTTGAAGACAATATTCCCAGATTCATTAACCTAATTATCAGACAGATATAGGGTGTCACTAATTATCATATAGATTGTTAATCTTAAATATGAATTTCAAATAATAACTGTAATTACGTTCGTTACGAATCCTTCACGCGTGTGTTCACTTTTAATTTTATGTCTCTATCAAAAGTTCTTAAATGGTCAGAAAAGGAAAGAGAAAAAAATGTTTGCGTAGTTTCACTTGGGTTTTGAGTGCTCCAAGACATCACAAAGCACTGTATTTCATCCGACACTCTGGAAAGATAAATTTCTCTCTTGCGCCAAAATGTGAAGAATAAGTCATTCCATCAGGTGGTAAACAATTTGCACAGAGGGTTTATTTTTATCGTGTAGTCAGTCACTTCTTTCTTGACTTTGTAAGTAATTCGTAAATACGTTGAGTTAAATGGTTAATGAATATCTCGAACTTTCCGAAGTAATTATATAAATCACTTCCAGGAACAATCTCTTTTGAATTAAACAAACAAGAAGATGCAAATTATCCATTTTCCGTTTTCTTAACACTCTCACTGTAAAACAAAATCCTATTTTATTTGCCCTTCCTTGAGCCTCGGAGTTCTAACCTCTAACTGCAAGATAGTATTTTTTTACGTTGCAGAACGAAAAGGAAAAAAAAAAAGTTACATTTTGCTGAGGATCTAGACGAGCCCTTTCTTAAACTCTTGGCGCTGTTTTAGAGCTGCCAGAGAAAAGTTGAGGGTCCTTCTCGCTCATATAAATATTTGCCGCCAGACGCCAACTCTTGTTTCACGACGGAGCAAAAAGTCGCTAAAAATATCTCTCGAAATTAGGCTTATGTGACTTCTGCGTCATAGCAGGACGCTTCAAAATAGTGTCGAAATTAAAACCGGCCCAGTTCTTCGCTCATATTAAAAGACATTATTTTAATACTTTTATTTTATTCATTTTGCTTATTTTTTGCTTCCTTTCCTTCTGGGGAAGGTCTTTTCTCGTTTGAGATAACTGAAGCCACGACTGAAATCAAAGTAGGGTAACTGGCCTGTGGTTGAAACAACTCATGAAGAAGAGATTGACAGAATATTAAAAAACGCTGACACTAAGCAGAACTTGCTAGCATTTCAGTTAAGCAAAAGAATGAAACCAGAGAAAGCAAGCACATTTTTTTTTAAAAAATGTACTTGAGCAAAATGCATATACCCACTATATATGCTTAGTAGCTTCGACTCATTAGAGCAGTTTTCCGTCTAAAATTATAGAAGCCGAAAATTTAAGCGCTTATAAGGGCCGAAACCAGTTGTCCACAAATTATTATATCTTTATTTGTGTAAATCAGATGCACACGACTTATGTCAAACTGAACTGCTGCTATAAACACTTAAAAACATACACTTTCGGAAACATACACCTATAAACCATACACTTTCGGATGCATAGTGCAGCAACGGTTTAGGATTAAACATCGACTTAGAAAATGAGAATATTATAAAATACAATAACAGGTAAGCAATTAATTCTGTAATTCCAGTTTACATAATTAATGAGAAGATACACTTAGCAACTCATAATTATTTTAATTTAACTAAAATTCTTCATGATTAATTTTTCAAGATGATCACCAGATAAACTGATCTGTGTAATAAATGTTAAATGGAGTTAATGTTATCGAAAACAAGAAAATGGGAGTTTCTGAATTCGAGAACATCCCATTACTTATTAAGTTCTCTAACAGTTGACCAAACCCTCCTCGAATGTATATTGCGAATTCTAAAAATAACACATAATGCCAATCTATCAACATTAGAGTCAAGAGCATTGTCTTTGATGTAGTGCTGGTGCTTTAACGTCAAACGCAAACAGAAGATGTTGACCTCAAATAAAGCAAACACACGGTTATATCACGAATGTCGTTATTATTTACGCATTAACATATAAGATACATAGTAAAATCCGCTTAGTTGAACTTCGCTGAGAAACTCAGTTTAACTAGGACAGCAAAGAAAAACAAAACTCAGTTAGACTGAAAGGCAGCTATTTTAACTTGCTTATTAATTCAATTTCTTTTCATGTTTTAATATTTAAGAGATATAAAACTCTATTTATGAGATTCATTCTTTATTTCAAGTTCTTATAATATGTATTTTTAATATTCATCTATTTGAATAAGAAAATTATTCGTTTTCGTTGAGCATTTTCCCAAGTAATTTCAGTCACGCGACATTTTAGCCCTTTGAATTGAACACACTTTTATTTAATGGAAATTAGGAATCAACTATCGCATCAGTAATCTATGTTCATGGGCGTAAGATACTATCAAGTTTAAAGTGTATTTTATGTTCCATGTGTTACAAAAAACGTTGCTGTTGAAACTCATTAGTACAAAAATAATCCTTTTACATTTTCTTATGAAAATTTCTAGGAAATTTCCCCCTTCCCTTTGGGATGTAATGGTAAGCATATCCGGCTAGTAATCAGGAGTTTCGGAGTTCGAATCCCTACGAGGGTACAGCTGTTATTCACGTTTATCGGCTCCAAAGAGTATTCTTATTACTCTACAAGTGGCCTCCGAACTAAAAAATTCTTATGTTATCTATGTTTTTTTATTTCAAATTTGACTAGTTTTTATGCCGAATGAAATAATAATATAGATTCATAAGCTATCATAAAGACATCTCTGCTTTTCTTTGTTCTTGAATTGCGTCAGTGAAGACTTTATTTTATTGAGTAAAAGAACCTGTTTAGTAAAATAAGCAAATCAATAACCTTGTGTTTGGCGTAAATTTTAGTCAAAACACTATTAATTTTGAAGGCAAACAGGTTCAGGTCCCTCTTCATCAGGAGGAAAGATATCTGCAAAGAAGGGATAGTTATGGTTGTATTTATACCCAACAAGAAATAAAGAGAACGAGAAGGTAGGGCCATTTGTTGGGAGAAATAGTAATGACAATCGAAAAATTAAGTTAATAGTGTTTTAAAAGCATTAGGAAGAACGCGACTGGAATTATTGTCATTAACTAAAAGAAGGTAACACCTTGTCAATGTGAAAAGCTTCAGGAAAATTCAGTTCATCATTGGAAGAAGTTTTTTGAATAATTTTGCAGACACGGAGTCAAAATTATCATAAAACTTCCAACTATAATTAGCTATGGAAGATTTATTTATTAGTTATTTTTTTCTTTTCAGGCATAAGAAATGATTGTATTCCTTGATGCGAAATTTTAATCCTCTTTTGGTTTTAGCCGATATGTCTCAAACCGCACTGACAAGGTATGCTATAAATTTCCCAAAAGTCAGTAATAAATCTTTAAAAATCGAAAAAGAGATTTTATTGATAGGCTAGAAAATGATTTGAAAATTGAACTTCTGGAGAAGCCGTGCAATTTTTTAACTGACAGAAGGAAGAAATGGAAGCATAACAGCGTTACTAATTTTATTTCTAACAGCGAAATTTCTTCTTTGATGGCAAAATGAAACATTTTTAAAGGCCTTTCTCAATAACCACGGGAGAAAATCCTCGGTCATTGGCAACTGATCTCAAATAATTAAGTTCATCAGCAAGCAAAGATCCTGAGGAAGAAACACTGAAAGTGCAAAATATATAATAGTAAGAAGAAGCCACTTTTTTGCTTCGCCGGGTGATATGACTTAAGAGAGGCAAACGAACAGAAAAGGGTTTACAGTAAACAGTATTAGTGAAATCAAATTCAGTAAACAGTATTAGTACAGTAAACAGTATTAGTGAAATCAAAATGAAAAAAGTTGCTGATTATAAGTTTATCAAGGAAGGGAAAGATATTTTTAGATTAAGTTTCACAAGTGAACCGGATGACGCGATCAGTCGAATTTATAATAGATAATATCTGTTATAAAATCTTATTTATTACCAGCAAAAAGCACGAAAATGTCACCTACATAGCGAATGCAGAGTCGAAAAGATAGTTTCTCAAATAATTTTACCTCAGAATAATGCATGTAAATGTCAGCAAGTACAGAACTGAGATGATTACCCCTAATTAATCCTTCAATTTGGTGATAATATTATTTTGGAAAACAAAATGGCTTTGAGTCAAAGAGACTTTCCTAAGAGAAATTAACTATCTAAGTTCAGTATATATGATAAAATTCTCGAAGTCTATTTTCAGGACATTTTAGAGTCCTTCGACTGGAACATTAGTAAACAGTGATGTAACATCAAAAGAAACCAGAATGGAGTTCTTTAAGTTTATCGGAGACTTTAAAAGAGTTTTTTACAGCCTGAATGTGTGAATATTGTTACAAACTAAAGGAGAAAATTTGGAAACTGAATAATATTTGTCCAAAGGATATGATGCCGTCTCTAAGTTGGAAACTATTCCAGTTTTGTGGACTTTGGTGAGAGCATAAAACCTAGAACAATTAGCAATAGGTGAAATAAGAGACTTCTCTGGAGTATAAGTGATGAATTAAGAGAAGCTTTAACTTTCTTGGGATTAAAAGTTTAAGTATCTTTTATTTTACATGCGATAAAATTATTTTCACTTGTTCTGCTTATATGTTAGGCAAAAGATGCAACAAGTTAGTTTAGAAACTTCAATTATAACACACACACACAAAAAATTGCTCAGAAAAAGGATGCAAGTAAAGCAAAATATGGTATTCGTCTCCTACTGTCTTACATAGTTTGTTATGTGTGTCTCGGAACAGACACGAAATTTTTTCAAAATTTTTTCCCTCCTAATGGCGGGCGGTAGCCATTAATTGCGTTGGCCACTACTAAGGCTGGAAGCGGCGGTCACTTTACTATTAAGTGGGACGTACTAGGTGGGCCAATGTTGCCTCCTATGAAGGGTTGGACAATTTACATCTATGCCTTCTCTGGGAGTCGAACCCGGGCCTTTCGGTACGGCAGTCAGGGTCACTAACCAAATTTCCGTCTGACCGGGGTCTTCTAACTTTACTTTTTTATACTTATATTATTTGAATATGTCCCTTAAAATAAATGCTTTAATTTTCTCAAAACGGTTTTAATTTATTTTCTTTATCTTTCATGCCCTAATACCACATTTCTACGACTTACTTTGAGCCAATGCATATCTCAATAAATCCTGGTCATTTGGACATGCTATTATCTAAATTTTAACTAAAACTAAAAATTGCAACTTATCATCAATCGTCATTGAATATGGGTTGATAAAAAATTATAAACCTTTTGAAAATTGTATGCTACACAGAATACTGGTTTCCGATCTCAATTCATATGCACAAAAATAAAAAGGAATTAAGTTACGTCTTATGTTGGCATGACGTCAAAATTATCTTAACAATTGAGAAATTAAGCTGAAGTTAATAGCTATTTTCTAATAAAACTAGCATTAAAAATGTATCCAATACACACAGATACCTGAAATTTGGGCTTTTACTAATAGAAATTTATTCGCATGAACAACAATGACAACAAATTGAATGAACAGTGTCAGTGAGTTGCGGAGGAAATGTTGTGTATAATGAACAACTAAAATTATCTAAAGAACTGTAAAAAAGTTGGACACATTTTTCCGATGGACTCAGAAATGTAGGCCTTCTAAGACATTTAACTATCATCCCAAAACCGCAAGGTAAAAAACATAACGTAACAGCGATGGATCTCGTAGGGTCCTGAGACTTTTATACGATGCTTGTAAGTAACGAATGCAAGCGAGATTGAAGAATCATTGTCA